TTCCCATTTTTAAAACAGTCTTAGAAAGAATCAGTGTCAGGACTGGTTTGATTATGTTTTGGTATGCAATTCTTAGATTTAATTTTCATGAGGCTAGACTTAGGAATTACACACAGGACACAACGGATGTCTCCATTTGGAGCAGACAGCTGGCTGAAGACAGGGCCAGGTTCTGCAGGCTTTGGAACACATTGTGCTGCAAATGTATCAGCCCTCAGCAGCCACAGAATACAAAGAGAAAATAAGGTTAAAAGACCCTAACACATGGGAGCACTAGTCCAGCAGATCAAAGTACATCTCTAGTAAAGAAAAGAGCGCCACATTTGCTCCTGTGCTAAGTTACAGGAGGGGAGGCCTTGACCTCCAGCTCTCAAACTACTCCAGCAAAGCAATGCAACCTTGGGGCTGTTCCAACACGCACCTTGCTGATCCCTCAGTGATAATTCAGAAGGTATTCACTGTGCAGTCTGAACCCCAGGAACTTCTCTGAGCAAATACGTATTTATTTTTCTAGCATAAAATAGCAAGTAGTTAGTTAGCTTTAGCCAGAAAGGGGAAGAGGCCTCATTGACAAATAAGAGGGGGAGAAATTGTACTCCAGAATAGCAAGGTGATTTCAGAAGCTAGATTCTCAGTCACTGGATTAGTTTAAAGTACTTTTGACATTCAGAAAACAGAAGGAATTTGGGTGTGGGGGGAAGGAACTGTATTCAGTAAAATGATTAAGTGAAAATAATACACACTTGTCAGTGCAAACAATGAAATAAATGCTGTCCACCTCGTTCACAATGCCAATAACTGCAAGGTATTACAAAATACCATCTGTCCTCTCAGAACATCTTAACAGTAACCAGCATGTGAAAGGAAAAAAAAAATCCCATCCCAGACATCCAATCCTCTCGTGCTCATCTATTTAAGGACATTCCCTTATTAGTAAAAAAAAAATTCATTAGAACACATCTAGAAGATGAACACTCCTACAGATGCTGTGCTGGCTGTGGAGGGTGTGAGGTGTGACAGGCACTACCTACACAGGACAGTCAAAAACATTCCCAGTGATCACCCCTCAATGCAGCCTATGGAGAACTTCTGGACTTGATAAACTCCTGACATCCCTCCCAATCTGAACCTTCTTATAACCACGAAATAAATCAAATAGCCTGGTAACTAGGTTTGACAGTTAATCCATAGATTTTAGCTTTGATTTATAGTAAAATAAGAGAACTGCATTTGCGCAAACCCAGCTCTCCACAGCATTAAAGCTGTTGTGCACTACAGCATTGAGGTCCTTAAACTGCAAAGATACTCAGCCAAATCCAGCTCAACACTTGTCTTGATTTGTCATTAATATAAGAGGAACCAGACAAGCAACTCTTAAGGTTTTGTCCATATAGAATCCTTTGGACTTTACTGAGCTGTTAGACAACAGCTCAAAAGGCTCAAACTCCTCATAACAGCAATAGAAGAGAAATCCTGAGTTCCTTCTCCAACTGACAGGACTAACAATTTAAAATTATGTAGCTAAAATCATACATACAAGGGTATTCTACCACAATTTTCAGAGACCTCCTTGCCAGAGAACTGAAGGTGTCAGTACATTCTGTTAATAGCACTGCAACAGCTCCTGCACTGCATATGCACCATCAGAGAGCAGCACAGCCCAAATGCTGCCATAAACCCCCAAAAGGAGAAGTGGAACAGAAAGTCCCTGGGTGCTACAAATGTCACTGTACTCTCCTTTTGTGTTGGTACTGCACAAACTCGACTGTGGCAGCCACAAAAGCACCAGGTACACAGATTTGCCATGAGGTCTAACCCATCATATCTGGAAATGCAAATAAAACACACTATGCTATTCCTGAATATTAATGATGCTTCCTATCAACTGTTGTTTATCCGGTTGCTTTTTTCAAGCAGAGCTGGCTGTGCCTGGGGCGTTATGCAACCCTCCAAATCCACATGCCTACTGCTCTCTGAGATCTCAAGGTAACAGAGCTGGAACCCAGATATCTCTCCCGCCCAAAGATTGTTTTTATCATAGCATTTTACTCAAAGCCATGAATTGTAACTCCATTTTGCTCTTTATTTTTTCAATACTAAAACCTAAATACTTCCAACTATTAACTACATTCCATAACATCACATTAACTAGAAAGTTAATGACTTACCATGCACCTTATTTAGGATGAGGCAGCATTAGATGGAGTAAAACTGATAAACTGTCTCTGCTATGGTGGTGTGAATTGTTTCAGAAAAACAAGAAAACCAGACTGAAGGCCAAGATACCAAACAACCTGGTGATTTGTGCCACATAGGCACTGAAGGCTGTACTACTGTCACCCATTTCTTAGATACAACAAATCACTAAAAAATATCTAACACCTCAGTTAAAAAACAGTGACAGACTTTTAAGATGATAATAAGGATGAATGAAGCCTTACATTCTCAGCATGTCTCTTCAGATGACTGTTCATGCCTTTCTATCCCTTTCTGTAGGTCTACAGGCATGCACTGGACTTCACAGAGAAAGCACAGCAAAGTCACTACTTCCAAAACATAGCTAAAATAGTCTGAATTCCATACCAGGTTCTCTCATTACTTTAAGTTCACCTGCTTCATTCTCCCCCCATCTTAACAATGCAAGTTCTCAAAACCATATACACTCCTGAGCACTCAGTATATGCAATACTGTTCTCTTAAGCAAACAAGAAGTTGCAAAACAATTCACTGGTTTCATACATAGAGTACTTAAAAACTACATCAAAGCACCTTCAGCTAAGTACCAGTCCCTCCCCCTTTCCCCAATCCCTTACTACTTTTCCAGCATTTCTGCACACCAACGTTTTCCTTTTGTATTACTACAACATCCCACTTGCATCACTCCCACACATTTGCCTGACTCCAACCCTCCTGTAAGCATGAGGACCCTTTTATAAAACCCATTGCCACATCAAGCACAGGTACAAACGCACGCTCCAAAGGCATCCAAACCCACACATTCCTCTCTTCTCCTCTCAGACACAGATTTTGGCACCTTTTCATTCGATTATTTCTGTCACCCCACTCTTCCCACTCATTCTGGTTATGTTGTCAGCATCCTTCCCCATGTTTTTAGCCCTCTGACATTCTTTCAGAACCTAAACATCACAGCCATGTGGAGAAGCAAACATATGGTGGGATCTATGTTAAACTAGCAATTACACACAGGGATGAGTTGTCTGAGTGTCTTTAGGAAGAAACATGCAGTGTGATACCTATCTTAGGCCATTTTCCATCTTTATGAGCAGTGAAACAACCAAGCTGTTAACATCTGTGACGTCTATAGGAAAAAACCCTATAGGAAAATTGCAGTAATTTTTTCTCATCAGTACTATATTTAGATGTCTGCCAAGACAGAATTGAATTTTTTTTGTCCTGCTTTTCTACTACACTAGTTCTTTTCTTCCCTGTCAAAACTAGTGCAAGTTTTAAACAGTTATTTTCTACCAGTTTCCTTTAAGAAGCACCAAAACCTCCTTGTGCCAAGTTTATTGCTCATCTTATTACACTAATGTTTTGCTTTCTATTAAGGGCAAACAGATTTCTGGAAAGCTGGTCAGTGTACTACTTGCAGTGAAAAAAGCAACCATGTTTCATACGTGAGCTGCTAGCACTGATACAGCCCTAATCTAAACTCTATGGAATACAGCATAATGCTGCTTTAAAAACCACACACACAAACCTCAAGCCACCTTCAAGTGGAAAAAACGACAGCTATGTTATAGCAGGTATTTTTTTCTAAAAAACGTGTGTATGACTGTAACAGAACAGAAGAGTGTGGTCAGAGCTCAAACAGAGCAATTAATTTCCAGGTCAGTAACTCTTGGTGTCAGACCAAACTACTGAGCACTGTCAAGTTGGCACTGAGACCATGACCACAAGCTCTCTGCCTCAGACACAGAACTGGGAAAATCTATGGGCCATTGGAAATGAGGTCAGGGAAGAACAGGAGGAAAAAGGAAAACACAAATTTTTGTTTTGTTTTGTTTTGTTTTTGTAAAAAGTGACGCAACAAATTAAACAAATAATTAGTGAGACTAAAGCTTTAACAAATCAAAATCTGAAAACCTAACTAATGGAAGCTCTTGCACTAACCTGGACAACATGCGGGATGCAAAGTAACTCCAAAGAACGGAAGAAGTTCTTTTACAAATACATCATTTAGAAAGAATTTGTCCCTTAGAGAAAAGGCAAGCAGGATAATGCCGGTTGGGGCAGGAAGCCGGCCAATACTTTAGATCAAAATAGTAAAACTCGATGTACTTCCCTGCTACAGCAGCACAGACGTGACAGCCACGGCTGCCTGGTTTTCCCTGCTCGTTCTAAGCCAGCACAGCAAGCAGCGCCCGTGTGGGGGGACAGGCACCCTCACTGGTGCCTTTTCCAAGTGGTTTCCCCCGCCAAAAGGATTTCACGGATGTTTTCCTTCAATTTCATTCACTTTCAAATCCTCAGCACGCAGCGGCTGCAGAGAGCTCAGGTACGGGGAAATATTTGAGAGACGCACGTCAGATGAAAAAGCCTGAAAACATTTCGCAACGGGAAGGAGGAAGAAGCTGCCAATCTCTGAAGTGTCGGTCCAGGGAAAAGGGCACCGGCATTTCTCCGGGAAGTTTGGGGAGCCCTTCCCAACGGGGGCTACACGAAAGGGAACGCCGTCCTCTGTGCCAAGGGGGTTTCGAGGGAAAAAAAACAAACCAAAAAACAAAAACCACAAAAAATCCAACCAAAGGCCAAAAGACCGAAACACCCCAAACCCTCGGATGCGGGTTAAAAAACAAATTTAAAAACCCTTCAATAGCGATCCAAGTGCAGCCTGCGGGTCTCCCCAGCCCTCTCCCGCACCCCGGCCCTGTGCCCCGCTTCCTCCGCGAACCCGCGGCCCGGGCGGCGCCGTCGGGACGGGGCCGAGCTGAGAGCCCGCCCGGCCCGTGGCGCGGAGGGTGCAGGGAGGCACCTACCAGCTGCTGCCGGACCCAGCGCAGCATCCCCGGCGGCGCGGGTCGCGGCCCCCGCGGCGGGGCTCCCTCGGCAGTGCCGCGCCCTCCCTCCGCTATCGCCGCCGCCGCCTCAGGCGAGCCGCCCGCCGCGGCTGCTCCCCATGGCGCGGGGCCCACGCCGAGTCAGGAGCGGCACAGCCCCGCCGGCGCCCCGAGCCGCGGCTGCCGCCGCCATCACAGCACGGCCGCTGACACTCGGCGGCTGCGGCCGCCCCGGGAAGTGACGTGGCGGGGCGGGGAGAGGGGCCGGTGTGAGCGATGGAGCCGTGAGGGGGGAGCCGCCGTGACCTGCCCCGGGCCTGGGTTGCCGTGGTCCGGCAACTCCACCGGCCTGAGGTGTGGCTTCTCGGGCGCAAGAGCCGTGCGTGCGCCCGAGTGATCCTCGGGCAAAATTCCAGCTCCCCACACGGCCTCCGGCCGCAGCCCGTCAGGGCTCAGCGCCCTCAGCCCTATGATGGCCCCCTGTTCTACCCAAGGGAAGCTGCTTCTCAACTTGACTGTTTTATCTTTGCAAAAAGTGCAAAGCGTACACATGTTGGAATAAAGACTTTGAAAAGAGAGCAGATAATCACTGATTTAAAGTTAAAGCCCAAGTGCAGGGTGTGTGGGTCTCCCAAAGCAGGGAACAGGTGCTGGAGGCTCTGGCGCCCTGCTGCTGGCAGCATCGTCTTGAGCCGCTGTTTGTTAAAACCGGGTGTAGAAACGTGCTGATGCCAGGCAGTGATCTCTCTGAAATCTTCTCACCTGGACGCGTCCCTGTGTCACCTGCTCTGGGTGACCCTGCCTTGGCAGGGGGGTCGGGCTGGGTGATCTCCAGACGTCCCTCCCAACCTCGGCAAAGCTGTGATTTTGCTCTGAAAACAGCTGTTGCTTATCGAACAAAACAGTGTTCAGTGTTCAGACACGCCTATGCAAGTCTGCAGCTTCTGTGCCTCTGTGACTAAGAACTAAAGGAGATTATTTTGAGCAGTAAATACCTGGGCATTTGTGACCAAATACAGTTGTCCCTGAAGTCAGTGACAATTTTGACACTGAATTAAAGAGAAGTGTTTCTGTGGGTGAAGAGCACTGTTCCTGCTGCTCCCATTTGTTCCCAGGGAATTAGGACTTTTAGCAACGAATCATAATCGTATCTGCTATAGTATTATAGTGTTCATATAGAAATTTAGAATGTAATTCAGGATTTAAGATGGATGATCTAATGTCTGAGCAATGGAATGTTTTGGTGGTTTAAGCATCTGCGTTTAATTAGAAAAATAACGTTTAAACAGCAGGGAATAAAACTATTTTTATCAGGCACTTAAGAAAGCTCATGTTAGCAAAACTTGGTATTAAATGCTAGGCATTATTTCAAAACATTTAAATACATCAAAGCAGAGTTTCAAACAGCTTGCACTCCCCTATTCATCTAATGAGAAGTCGAAAATAACAGAGTGATTTCATAGCTGTGGCACATTGCCTAGAGAGTGGCCTTAAGCCAGAAGCTGAACTGATACACTCAATATTCGTGCTCCTCTTTTATCGTCAGATGTAGAACAGGGTCCTGACCACTGCACACTAAAATTCATATGCCATTACTCTGAAGTGCAAGAATATTTGTCACTCTCTCCCTGCCAAATTCCAGTATGAGTTGCACTTTCTGCAAGCCTCTGTTTCCATGGCTTGCAGTTGTGTTACATAAAGCTGCTTGGCACTGTCTGTTCCACATTTGCTGTAATGATACTGTTTCACCAGACAAAACTTGGAAGCAATTTGCAATTTGATTTGAGCCCTGCAGTTTGTGTTTTTCACTCTAAGATGTTTGTATTTTAGTGGATGAAAGTATATTGATAGGATGGAATTTTTTTGCTCTGTGCAGCAAAGGCACCTTTTCAAATATACAGGAAAATTTCACTAAAAAAATCCTTTCCTAGCATCCTGCCTAGTAAAACTTTGCACCTTTTAAATTGCTCAAAAGCCCACACTAGACATTTATGAAGTTTCATCTCACCCTTGAGAGATACATAGTTTTCAGAAGAGAAAATTGAAGCAGAGCAGCCAAGCTAGATATCGATTAGCCAGTAACACTCCAGCACTTCTCAAATCAGAGGTCAACTGTATTAAGAATTAAGATTCCCACAACAGAGACCCCACTTTAAAATAGTGCCCTGGAGTCACCTGAATTCACACAGCAGGCTTAAAAAAAAAAAAAAAAGCAGCTGCTGAAGAAAAAAGTCACCTTCCAAAGATTAGGTTTAACCCATTGCCCAGGCTCTCTTGATTAGACTCCAAGCTTTCCACTTAAGTTTCTATGGGAGTAATGATTTCAGATGTTTGTTTAGCAAGATCAGGATATGAATGCTGTCTGATAAAGAAATATTTACATAAACATAAAAATACACACTTAAATGTTAGGTCCAGCAAGCTTTTATTTATGTGTTCATGAGTAATTCTTATATAATCAATAGTGCTACTTTTAGGTTTATAAAATTAAACATTGGTAACCTCAGAATCATTGCCTGAACACACAATCATAGAATTGTCACTGGGGCTGCTGATGCTGCTCCCTGAACTTGTTCCTGTGGGAGACACTCACGCATTTCCATTAGTTTTGAATGGTGTTTTGGGGCCAGCAAATGGTGTTTTTTCCAGCAGGAGCTGGTGAGATGCTGTCAGGCTGTATGGCCACATCCAGTGCATGATGAGAGGAGATGGAAGTGCAGCACTGATGCCAGAGGGTGAGCTGCCTGCAGCATTCCTGCCTTGGAAAACTCTGAAGTGCCTGGCAGCTGAGCCCTGTCACCTGCCCCATCCCTGGATGCACCAGCCCCATTCCAGGCTCCCAGGGTGCTGCAAAGGTGGTGGTCTCATCTGATGCACTGATTTTGGGGCAGCCCAGCTCTTATGTTGCATCTAGAAAACACCTCTGTCCTTTGGGACAGAAAAACAGAAAAGCCAAAGAGGTGCAGAGTAGAGATGGAGCTTCAGAGTAGGGATGTAGGTTTCTGTAGCAAAAACCAGTAGCTACCCTTACAGTAGCATTTTCCTGATGGAAAATTCCTCTCAGCCATTACTTTGGTTTTAATTAAATATTTCCTAGTTTCTCTAAATGAGTATTTTAGTCTATGCATTATTTACTTGCTAATTATGGTGCTAATTAAAAATGTACACTATAAAAATACCTGTTTTGTTTCTAATCCATTGAGTTAAGGACTGCCTGAGAGACACAGGGTTTCTTCAAGCATTCACTTACTGGCTGAAGCATCGATTATATAGAGATAATCAGTGGCTGATTTTCAGTCACAAGGCTTTGCATCTAAAGACACATGTGTATTCTTACCTAGAGCAACCAGTCTTCAGGGAAAAAGTAAAAGAGTTTAAAAATGAACTGAACTTTTAAAGGGAAACCTTGTGTGCAGTTTGTCACTCCCTTTTTGTGCCCTGAAAGAAATAAGATCAGATTAAATGACAGGATGCACAAGGTGACATTTCCAAGACACTTACTGGATCTCCACAATAATGCAGTATTTTTTTATTTCTTCTTACCCTTTCTCCCAGTTGTTAAAACCTGGATCTTGACAACACACCTCACCTCTCCATTGTTGCTTTTTTTTTTTTTTCTTTTCACTTGAGAGCTTTATTGAGAGTGTGGAACTTCAACTTCTACCCAACACACGATGCTCAAGAGAGCTGGATCCCAAATGCCAGGTGAGGGGCTCCAGGTGACAGGCAGAAGGGCAAACTTGTCAGTGCCCTGCAGGCACAGAGAACTTTGCACTGCATCACACTTCACCAAAAGATGCTCTGCACTTACCTCATCCCTGGCTGTGTGGAATGGCCTGACCTGCTAAATGCAAGTCAAGAGTTTACAATCAGTGCTGCTCAGTTTGCAAGGCCTCAGGATAACAGGAAGCTGTGGAAAGCATTAAAATTCATCTTACCTTTCAGCCTCACTGTTAACTTTTTAATTACGTGTTGCCTGTAGGCAGCAATGTTCAGCTTGTGGCTTTCTCTAAAGCTGTTTTGTTTTCTTTTTCCCTGGGGAAGTAGTCCAAGATGAGAAGAAATACGAAATCCTGAAAAGTCATCCCTTATCTTCATGAAGCTGAGTATGACCAGGATGAAGTATAAAATGCTAATTGTTCATGCTCTTTTTTTTTTTTTTTTAAAGTTTGGAACATCTCCAATGGCCCTGTCTTGATAAAAAGTGCAGGACTCATAATCTTGCAAAACAATGGTTTTGTTAGAAAATTTGTTCAGGTAAGTCAGTTAATTTCTAGTATATCCTTGACAGTGACATAATTTTGCTATCCTGTATTGTGAACAAGGATAACCTTACAAAATGTGAATTTTTCTCCAGACTCTTTATTTAATGATTTATAAAAATACACTTTTCCAACTAATTCATTCTTATCCTCATCTTTTTATAACAATTTCCTTTTCTAATTTATAAGCCCTGGTGATTATTTGCATTCATATGTCACCTCACGGTTAACCTTTGTAAAAAATTGCCAGGCAGAAAACAATGCATCTCAATAAAAAACTCATGATATTCTACGGGCATTTTTTTTTCTTCTACTTTGTAGCACTTCAGTTAAGACCACTGAGTGGATAAAGAAAGATTGAACTCTGGAGAATAAACACAACGCCTGATATCCAGGCCTCTTGACACCGGTCACCTGGGACATTACCCTGACAACTGTAATACAAACAGTTACACACCTAGGGATGTTACCTTGGAAAGGAGTTTGAGATCTTTGTGGGAAAGGAACGTGAGGGTTTTGGTCATGGTTGTACACTCTCTCTTGGTTTAATAGCTTGTTTCAAAATAGTGTAACATCTAATATATGAAATGTTCTTCAGGTAGTGGGAAGTAGAATTTCAAGCACCCTCATGCAGAATTTCAGTTTCCCATACCTTGCACACAAAAAAAAAAAATCAGTTTTTTAGTATTTGAGTTAGCTCATATAATGCCAGCTAACATGTTACTATTCTGCACTCAAATTATGAAGTAGATATTTCTGAAGGTGTTCCTTGCTGTGCTGTTGGCTGGATTGTAGCCAGCTTGAATGCTGAAAACCCAGCTTGGATACCTGTGGATCTTACCTGTTCCAGCAGCAAGGAGCTGTGATTATACAGGTTCCTTTTCAAGGGTCTTCCTTTCTCTCAACTCTCTAAGGGAAAAGGGAAAACACTTTAACAGAGCCTTGTAATTCAGTGCTCTCCATCAATTCCCCATTATTTAAGCCTGT